TGAGGGACATGTATAGGTAGATATGGGCCCGTAGACTATTGCTAGTATGTTTTGAAGGCCTAGGGAGTGATTCTCACCGAGTTTTTAGTCGTTTTGTACGCGGATCACGTGAGATTTCACCCGTGTCATCCCTATATAGAGAGTCTACCGACAAGTCTACAGTTGGAGAGGCCACTCCACTGGACAGAGATCTCAGTGGAGCTCTCAGCCTCTGCTATCACATCCCCAGGAGCCTCTCTTGCACCTGTACATACACATACAGACATACACACAGACTGTGAGACCACAATCTCAGTGGGTTTCACTTGTCTGTGGTGTTAGAAATCTCCTGCCCTCACTGGGTCGGCTGGTACCTCGAACATCACTGACTGCCTCCACAGTCACCTCATATGTGGTGTAGGCTCTTAACTCATCGGTCACTGTTGACCCCACATCTCCTCCTACAGCAATACTGACAGTAGTGGAGGTAGCATCCACTGTCAGAGTGGCAGTATGAGAGTCAGTAGAACATAGTCCCTCCTGATTGCTTCCCTGAGCCATGGAGAATGTGACAATATATCTGTTAGCATGGTCCACTGCCTCCCAGGACACAGTGACTGGGGATGATTCTGCAGCAGTCGTTACACCTTCAGGGGCTGTGTTAGAGGGGGAAAGAGGAACATGCAGTGGGACTTCTATCAAGAGAACCGCCAAAATAAGAACACCTCTCCAACGAAGACATCTTTGTTTCCCCAGAGTAAAGTAAATCCCTAGGGCCTCACTAAAACAGATGCTGTCCCTCTCTCTTGTGTGGTGTTTAGAGCAGTAGCGGTACCATTCCACTATTATTATAGTACATTGTGCTAGTTGAAACCCTCATTTACCGTGATCTACATGTACATTCACTTATGAATAATTTAAGACACTGCACTGCTCACCAACTGAAGGTGGGACAGGTTGGCTATCACTAAATCTTGTTGCATCCTGGATAAAAACGACATACAGTTAGTGAAAGTCACATGTACTACACATGTGCTGGCACCTACTTCACTGCTGTAGAGTTGAATGAAGAAGAAATAGTTGGCTCCAAGTCTGACAAATCGGTTGTCATAGTTCACTTGCTGGCCGTTAGCTAGAGTCACCTCTTCAGTGACACCGGTGCCTACCCTGATTTGTGGCGACAGACCGGAGCTGGCCCGTCCAGCAAAGGTAACGTATGAAGTGTCGGTTGCCTCTGGGAGTATGGCTGACGTGTCAGGAGACTGGTCAGTGATGACTGCATACACCTCATAGTGGCTGTGGCAGGAGGTAAACACACGATTGGCAGTTTTCGAGTTAGAGTGAAACAAGTATTGCATAACACAGGCTGAATGAACCAGCTTTTCCCTTCCACACAACAACCGCACACCCACACACCAACACAAGTGTGCAACTAATGTATATAGATTTCACAACTGATGGACTATCATAATAGACATGTACCTCAGTAGTTCATAAAAGGACCACATTTAGTAGATATCAGGACTAATATATCACTACTTATGTACTATTATATAATCATATCTGAGTGGTCCATATTGATCACTGAAGTTGTTGATAGTGAAGGTGTACTGCTGCTGGTCGATGTTAGTGACAATGTTGCTGATTGTCGGTGGCACCACCCCAAAGTCTGTCCTGAACGGAACAGGCCTAGTCTCTTGCCCATCCCCAGCTCCATTTATTGCCAACACTATAGCTATGTAGTCCGTGAAACCTCGTAGTCCTGTGATCACCAGGGACATTCCCCACACAACCCTAACAGTAGTTATCCCAATTTCAGTGACACCAGGGTTCCGTGGAGGACTCGCCACTAAAAACGAGGAGGAGGAGGTACAATGGTCAGAGGATGGAAACTCCAACCCACGTACTGTCTTCTTCAGCAGTGATTGTCTGGGGGGACAGTGCTGTGACCCTAATAGTGTCTCCGTTAATGTTCAGCACAGCATCCACCATCACACTATAGTCAGAGAATGGCATTCCAGCTATGAACTGGAAATCTGTCCCAGTTCACTACATTTGTAGCCGCCTGTCTTTTTCCTCTTCCATGTTGTTGAGGGAGCTGGTCTATCATGACGTTGTATACATCGATGAACTCTGGATTCTTAACTTGGGCTGGAGGTGCCCATTGGAAAGCGAATCCTCTACTCAAAATAGTTTCCTGGACTGGTCTAGCGCTTATGTCAGGAATCTTTTCCACTGCAAATCAACATACATATTGCAGTAACATTGCAACCATTAAACCAACTACATATATACAAATATTGCACAGACAGCACAGAAAAGTGAAATTTTTAGAACCCAAGATGTTGATTGACATTTGGCATACCCTATAGCAATATTTTAATATTACTCAGACTTTTACCCTATAACTGTTCCATTATCAAAGTGTACACAACAAAATGGACGAGACAGACTACCCAAGTACAGTGCATATTGCATCCCATTGCCACGCACCATTAGGGACCACCACAGTGGTGAATGACGTCGTATTCATATTTCTAATATCTATATCTGAATAGATGACCTCCACCTCAAACGTAACATCGTTTCACTTGCGTCGGCAGGATCGATCTCGTCCTCGGGGATGCGAAAGAGATAGCTCGTCTCAGCAATTCTCGCTACGACATCACCCTCAAAACGAATGACAAATTCTTCCACGAAGAAGACACCCTCTGCAGGGAGGTCATTTGGTGGGTCAGTCACATTAGAGACAAGAGACGAGAGGTTCCACTCCAAGATGAGAAACTTGGGGGAGAGCGCAAATCCCGTCACATACGGCTGGGCTCCTGAGTTTAAGAGGGAGAGGGATGGGGGAAGAGAGGGGGATGGGGGAGGAGAAAGAATGAGAGTGGGGGGAAGGGGAGAGGAGAAAGAATGAGAGAGAGGTGGGAGGAGAGAGGAGAAAGAATGAGAGTGAGGGGGGAGGGGAAGGGGGGAAGAAAGGGGAAAGTTTTGGGAAGGGGGAAAATAGGGAGACATAACTTGGACACCATTTCCACACTATTTTCAAAACACTAACCTCCATCGGTCCCGACAATAGTAGTCGTATCTGAAGTGCTGGATCCCACAACATTTGTAGCACTGACAGAAGTGTTATAGGTGACAGTGGGAACTGTGCACACTGCGGCATGGGGCTGTGGAGTGGTGTAATTATCACAGTCGTCTGTTGCAGTGCTGAAGACTGTGACAGTGTAGTTAGTGATCTCGGCATTGTTTGAGATAGGGGCAGGCCACGTGACGTTCGAGACAAGGAGAGTGAGGGGAACAGAAGCTATTTTTGTGCTGTCTACTTCGCCTGGTATATCTGAGGAAAGAAGAGAGAGAGGCAATAGACTGAAGGACTGAACATTGTGAGTTAGGATTAACTCACCCCTAACTACCAATGTAAATGACATTGACGTTGGTCCGATCTCATTAACAGCTGTGCAATTATACACCGACCCGTTCTGGCTGAGGTTTCCAGTAATAGAAAACTCCAGTATCTTTGCATCTGCAGTAGTACCAACAGTTACAATGTCTTCACCTGGCCTTCTGAGAGTAATAGTGATGTTAGTAGCCATAGGGTTAGAGCCAGCAGTATTGCACTCCAAAGGTCGTATCTCTCCGTCATTGACTGCCTTAACATTACGTGGGAATCGCACCACTGGACCAGCTGCACGGAATTAATCGCACATAGTAACTACAGGGGCACCTCTTCTGCACATACACACAATAAAATCGGACCTGGCGGCCTACCGTCTTTTTTCTTTTTCACGCATTATTTTTTTTTCTTCTTTTTTTTTTGTGTTGCGTTTCCGTTGCGTTTTAGTGACGTAAAACGCCACTCGAGTGGCTTTGGGCCCCAAAGAGTTAAACTTGAACGAAAATTTGACCATGAAAAAAAAGTAGTCTGGTGGTCTATCAGCTAAGAAAGAGAACTGTACCAGCCACTGAGAAATGTATAAAAATTAGTAGTGGTCTACGCATTCCCCCCTCTACTACTCTTTCTCAGTTTTACCGATTGCAGATTAAGGACACACAAGACTTATAAATGACAGTCACATTGACAGCTTCATCGACTCGGTCACTGGGCAGCCTGTTGTACGCCTTTCTGTTTCAACATCTGAGTTGTCCCGTATGTCAGGAAGTATGAGTGCCACGTAGCCATCTCCAGTCTCGACCCTCGTGTTTGCGGGGGGACTATCAGGTGTGATATACACCCCCTCCTCTTTCCCTGTGTGGCAAGTCTGAACCATCGTATGGTGAGGTCCCGATCTACACCGTGAGGGTTGGTTGCACTGCAGTTCAGTACGACGTCATCCCCTGCCACGAACGAATCACCACCAGTTCTGTTAGGTAGAGTTAGATTCTCTGCCCGTACGTCGACATTGATGGCGACATCTGCAAAACAAATGAAACATGGGAAGATAGTTTCAGTATGAAACGTGTGTACTTATAGGACCAGGGTTCTAGTTGTAGTGGGCCTAAAACAGCCCCAGGGGCAACAGTATATACTCAACTGAAAGTAAACATGTTACATTCAAGAAAGATTCAAACAATGGATCTTAGTGGTGGCTAGCTTGCTGGGCATAACCTAAAAGACCAACGTGGGTGGAGCAATGGGGTTCTCTCCCCAGGACCTCCACTGCGACCAAGAGGTGAACTAAAAGTCACCCGCTCTCAAGACAGTAGTTGAAGACCCCTTCAGAGCAATGGGGTTCTCTCCCCAGGACCTCCACTGCGACCAAGAGGTGAACTCCGTCCTTCACCCACACTATGTCCACTGGGTTCCCAGCTTCAAACAGACATGTGAGCACCACTGAACCATTCACCTCCACTCCCCGAGACTGAGGACCCTCAACATGGATTACTAGGAGAGAGAAAAGACCATCTAACTCATACTTCTCCAAAAACCAATTTTCTCTCCCTGCCTGAAAAAATTATGAAGACACCAAAGTATGTAGTTGCTTGGAAACAAACATACAGTACACAGGTCAACAGACGGTATACATTATACACACAATACAGTGGATCCCTCACCAGTCGCGTCTCTGACTGTAATAGAATGGTCAAAATCTTGAACATTAGCAGACGCGGTAATAAAACTAATAGTGACCATCTCAGCCAGCTCAGGCTCTTCATCAAGTACCTCTCCAATTGTGACACTGACTTGAGTAGTGGAAGAAGTGAAGTTGACAAATGTTGGACTAATCATGACCTCGTTCGCTGCAGAGAAGTGGGTAAAGAGGTCAGGAACAGTGACACAACATACAGACGTGGGGCACTCACCTGGATCAGCCTGTATTTTCATCATGAAAAACGCAAGAAACGGACCGACAGCTGTAATATTCAGTTATGCTCTCTCCCTCCGTCACTTCATCATCTCCCACCACATTCAGAGTGACAGCTGGATCAAGAAGACATGTAAATCATAGAGTATGGGAGTCGTCACATGACTCACTAGTATCACTGATAGTGAGAGTGGCTGGAGAGACATTCAGCCTGAATGAAGATTCCAGTGATAGAGTGAAAGTCTCATTTTTCGTGCCATCCGTCACCCTATCACTCCGTGCAGTAATGACCACTACACCCATATCTGAGGCCCTGCTGAGTGTAATGTTCGGGTCAAGGCTTCCACAGTAACTCTCACTTCCACCTCTCCCTGCTGTGGACTGACCCACCTCACCATAACTGGTACCGAGTCACCTTCATCCACAGTGTAGGTAGACTGGTTAAACTCAAACACCTGGACTAAAGAGGAAAGGACATAGAAGGTTCTGGGCACTATTTGAAATTTCAGTATAACACAATTCAAGTACATGTGAGGCTAGAAAGTTTGTATTTGTTTGTCCCACGAATATAAGGACTGTACAATAGGGGGAAAAGCTCTCCAGAGTCATTAATGGTGACAGTTGCTGTGTCCTCGACAATTGACACGGAGGGATCATTTGAACTCAGCATCATATCAAACATTTCATCAACCTCAGGAAATGTATCATTCACAATATTAACCATCGCAGTGCCACCACTGCCTGTCAGTGTCAGCGTCATTGGTCCCGCCATATAGTCACCAGGGGCTGGGTAGAAATAGAAAAGAACACTAAATATCTTTCATGTCCCTATCTCCAGTATAAACATACCAATGGCAGTTCCATCCATTAGTGTGACAGTCACCTCCACCTCTCTGGCTAGAGTCACTTGAGACTCAACTTCAGTCATAAAACTGAGTTGATTTCCTTCCATCACGCTGTACATGAGCTCAGAGAATCTGATAGTGGCAACTGGTGTGAGAGAGGGAGTGGGGAGGGAGAAAGGGAGGGAGAGAGGGAGGGGTAGGAGGGATAAATATTACAGTATGTAAGTATCTTCAGTGACAGCTCACTAGTAGTGTCTGTGATAGCCACACTAGAGCTGGGTAATATCATCACAGCCCTGTCTAACGACCCAAGTGTCAACTGAACAATTTCTCCCCCCTCCACCCGACTGTCATTAGCGGCTGTGAACGTCACAGTACTGCTTGTAGTACCAGCAGTCAACACCACAGTAGCAGGCAGTGCAGTATAGTTAGCCCCTGGTAGGACAATTTCATTAGCCATGGGAAGAGAAAAAGATGATACTTACCTTCAGTTGTCCCATCATCAACAGTCAATTGAACGACGATCTCTCTCTAGAGTTCCACCATTCACATTCAATACAACATCCACAGATCCTCCCTCTGGCACCACATATCCTGTTATGTCGAATTTAACAGTCACTGGCAGAAAAGAAATCGACGTTGAAGGTAATGTGGCAGTCAAAATTTAGAAAATGTTACTAAAAACGGAAACATTGCACTGAGCCTATTGTTTTGGTTCTATCTTTAGAAACATCTAGGGCCCTTTGTGCTAACACATTCCCCTTTAACCTCTCTATACCCTCAACAATTATATATACCAGAGCTTCTGTCAGTGATGGAGACCACGACTGGGCTGTTTGGCAGCGTAACATTGTCGTCATTGGTAACAAGAGTGAGCGAGAAACCCTCCTGATTTTCCAATGCCATATCATTGAGGATTTCAACTGAAACGAAATCTGACGAATGGAATTGGTAAACGTTAGCATCTTGGACACTGGTACGAAATCATTTCCACCCACTGTAGAAAGATAGGGTGGTCAGTGAGCCAAATACACAATCAACTATTGCTATACCTGCTGTGCCATCACTGGATGAGATATTGACTATGTCATCATTCTCTATGGAGCACATTGGATCTATTGTCACCATCACTGGCAACATCTGTCCTTCATCCACAGTGTAGGAGGGTTGATCGAAACTCACTTCACAACCTACGGAGAGGGATTCAATTAAAGGAGGTAGAGCATAAGTCTAGACCAGAATCTCTGGATGTTATCTGAGTGCCATAAGATGGATTGGTGAACCCACCCTCTGTCTGCTTGGTCCGCTACTACACAACCACAATGTAATATTATATCTCAACAGCCACAATAATTATTATGTTGCCCAGATTCCCCAAAACTACTCTGTCAAAACTGCGCAGCTAGGGTTACAGTACTTGGTTCGTAAGTGTGTCTGTCTGTCTGTCTGTCCATCTGTCCGTTACGAAACTGCACACACACACACACAGTGTGTGTACTTAAACCTCCTCTCTTCCCACCAAAAACTTTCACTCTGTGTGTATTCCACTAACACACCTTCTACACTCACGCCTAACTAAGAACAGTAGCATACACACAGCTTGAATTACAGGCAAAAGTATATATTGTGAACTCCTTCAGTACCGTCCTAGTCAATGAATACATTTCAAGAGCTGATGATGGCCTTTTGCTTAGTATAATAATCTCTCTCCATATTCTCCTAGTACATCAACAGACTGTGTGCATTTGTGGTGGGGCTCATTGTCAGACTTACAGCCACTGAAGCACACAAAGAGTGTCACCTCTATTGAGACGGTTTGGACCAGAAAAGAAGGAGAAAATGAAGTCTAATTGAGCAGGCAAAACACAGTGTAGCTCAGCACAGAAGCTCATATGAACAGAGACCATAGCTGGCATATTTCTTCACTCATCCTGTGCACAAGACCAGGTTTGTGCATTCTCTGCATACCCAGGAACACTAAAACAGAGAAATACACGTGGATTGTTAATGTGCCGGACAGAGGCTGTGGTTTACGCAGAAAGGGTGGCGCCAGTTCGCTCATTAACCTCGGTTAATGGTATCATTTAACTCACCTCACCTTGTACGTGGATTAGCCCCCCCAGTCCCACGCCAGGTCACCTACGTGTTCATCCGTTAGCATGGGTGGAGCCCATTGGGGATGTTGGGCAAAGGGCTGGGACCCGTCGAGCAAAAAAGGCATGAATAAAGACGGACCTTACCTTCCACTGTCAGTGTCATCCAACTACACACAGACAGGAGAGCAGCTAGCTGGTGCCGTGCCCGGGAGTATCTTACCACTAGCATTTTCCACACAGCTAGAAGACCTCGCACTGTTAGATGGGGCGCACCGAGCGCGAGTTTTACTACGGTCACAATAGTGCCCCGTCACATAACATCATACCTAGCTACCAACCTGCACCGATACTTTTCCTTGGGCCTTTTATTTATTTTCCTTGTTTATGATCTATTTTTTCCTTGATTATAACACTTTACGAAGTGCGCACAGCCCAAATGGGCTTTCGTATCACACTAACTCCATTCCTAATACTTTTGTATGTTTTTATGTGTGCTAGTGTACCATCACTTCTTGTACCGGTCAGTTTTTGTAAAGTATTATAATCAAAGAAAATAGATCATAAACAAGGAAAATAAATAAAAGACCCAAGGAAAAATATCGGTGCAGGTTTGTCATCGATCACTTCCAAACTTCCGAATATGTTCACTTCCAAATTGTACTACTTCCACATTGTATCACTTCCAAATTGTGGCACTACTGAATTTGCTCACACTTCTCACCTTTGTGATTCCTCATCCAGGGGTAGGCCTCATCCGCTCGCGAGTTAGCCGCGCATGCGCAGTTTCCGCATCCAGCCGACTGCACGAGCCTCCGCGCAGCGAGCGGTGAGTGGAGACTGGAAGAGTGATTGTTTACCGGGAGCAGTCGGCGCGGATTACAGGCCATGGCCTCTCCGCTGTCCTCTCACAGTGGAGATAACAGCGAGGAACCTGCTCTTAGTAGAGATCAAGGTATGGCCTAATAAAAATGTTACCGCGGTCTGTTCGTGTGTCCCCATTTTGCAGTTATGTCCGGCATGTATATTGAATTTGCATGTCAATTGAGAAAGCGCACTACTAAAGCAGTTCGTGGAAAAGCAGCAAAGAGGCCCTGGGTGAGGTATTTCCGCTTTTAGCGCATCTATGGGAGCACTACACAAAACCTGCAAGATAGCCCTAGCCCTAAAGAACTAGCTAGAACCAGGGAAACAGGCTTTTTACAGTTGCTGCCAAAATTAGGCAGGAGTGTGGGGTCGAATACAAGCACCTTAAACTCACAAATCTGATTTCCAAACTTCAAAATGTTAAAAAGCTTCCAAACATCATAACTTCAAAAGCTAGCTTCCAAACTTCGTAACTTCAACATTTTGAAGGTTCTAAACTTCATAACTTCATAATTGTACAGGTTTCAACCTTCATAACTTCAACATTTTGAAGCTTCCAAACTTAATAGCTTCATAATGTTAAAGGTTACAGACTTCAAAGCTTCTAAAATTTATAGTTAGCTAATGGACTTCCAAACTCTTAAAAACATTAACATTATTATACCAAATTAGTTAATATACATTCTCCTTTTTCCTCAGAGGATGATTATAAGGAGTAAGAGAAAGATGCTATTTTGGAACTGGTTGCTACATGTCTGCAACGAAAAGGCCAACGTGCTACTGCCATTCAAGCCCTCAACAGCCTATTGAAGCTCCCAGAATCATCGCTATAGTTCACATTTATGCACACTATTATGTTCATTTCTTGCACACTCAGAAAAGTTATCAAGTTCAGTAGCATTTGGAACAAAATAATTATAGTTCAAAGCTTCATGTATGTCTGATGGCATTCTACTAATGTTTCTTTCTACTAGTCATGATCAACTGTGCAGCTCGTAGATACTCCAAACAGCCCGGTATCCCAAGTAGATCAAAATAGTCCTATACGAATCAAATACCTCCGAATGTGCTCCTAAAGTCTGTCTTTAGTGGCTGCGACATTTTCCGTTCATGTTAGCTATAGCCCGACGCGCGCACTAGTCTCGTGCCCAGATCCCGCCCCCTCATTCCGCGCGCTAGTCTCGTGCGTGCCCAGACGACCCCGCCCTCTAAACCCTGCATGCAGTGTAGCTACATAGCACAATTTACGGAAATAAGTAGCACAACTTGGAAGTGGTACAATTTGGAAGTGAGAAGTAGCACGATTTGGAAATGCGCACGACCCTACGGAAGCCCAATGGGCTTCCGTAGTTTCCCCTTTGTGTATTGGAAAACACTGTGTGCCTGCTAATATACCACCTATATACCTGTAAACACAGTGTTAATTTATTACTTCTCATGTCTACCAGAAGGTTAAATCGAAAACATCTGAGGCGATATCTAAAAGCCACTGATGTTAGCTACTTTATTTATGGGCTTATGCCCAAAAATATTGCACACCATGCTTATGAATGCAGTAAAAAAAGGAAAGAAATAAAAACTGCTTTGAATAATAAAAGTGTGGAAAATAGGATGCCATAAAAAGCATGGAGACAAGACAGGGATGACATAGTGCATGTGATGAATTAGTACAATGGGATGATGGTTACATCTTCAAACTAACATCGCTTACTCGTGTAAATTTTACTCCACACAAGCCCTATATTGTCACCACTCTTATGCATGACATGAATTTTGAATAATGTAGTGTGAAGACTGGCAAACGAATTCTGTAGAGAAAGCAGCATTGTAAAACTGGTTAGTTGAGCGGACATTGAAGTAAATACTGTCACGATTCAAGGAGAGAGAGGGCATTTGCTACCAGTCTTAAGTGGATAGGAAACGAGTCATAGCTCCACATCATACGATAGAGATCTCTCATGCTATGTGACAATATAGGGCTTGTGTGGAGTAAAATTTACACAAGTAAGCGATATCAGTTTGAAGATGTAAGCATCATCCATTGTACTAATTCACATGCACTAGGTCATCCCTGTCTTGTCTTCTTGCTATTTATGGCATCCCTATATTCCACACTTTTTTTATTCGAAGAATTTTTTATTTACTTGTATACTTTCCAAGTGAGTGAGTAAGAATGCTTCTTGTCTTTGGTCATTACAAATTGAATAAGCCTTTGAGTTTTTTAGCTAAAACCAGGAAGCAGAGAAATAAGTGAAAGGCCGAGAACCAGAGTGGTCTATATATCCCAAAATTTAGTATGGCAAATTGCCTAAAATGAGGAAAATACAGGTAGGGATCTGTAGATGCATGGGATTTTGCAAAAGAGTGTCTCCTTCCATAATGCATTTTAATGATAATTTCATGTCAAGTGGGGTAAAATGGAACTTTCATGGGTTAGACTAGCCTCGTTCCCAGCAGTAAGAATTAGATGGGTCTTGTCAGTACACAGCAATAACAGGGCAGTGTGACTCGCATGCTAAAGCAGTTTAGTGGAGTTTGCTTTGGTTTATACACTGCATGTGAGGAAAACAACTTTCTCCAACATGGAATGGGAATGGAAAATTGAAGTATACGTTAAAGCACAATGTGAGTCTACTTTGGGAGTTATTGAAAGTGGAATGTGGTGGAAAGGCGTCATCGACTTGACTACAAACCGTGTTGCTGCAATAGCTACACAGGCACGAGCGGTACTTTTACTTTAGCAAGGTTTCCATTAAATATTTTTGCTCTCGTGTTACTGGCCCCTGTTGGTAGTTCCAGGTCAGTTTTTCCCATGAAAGCCAATGCGTAACACCATTCTCAAATATTTCCTAATATTTTCCAACGTGCGGCGGTACAGTCCATTAATCATGCTAATTGCATCAGGGATATGCACCTCAAAGATCTTATGG